TAGCAATAATTAATTGATAAAAATTGCCAAAAATTGGTCTTTAATAATTTTTTACTCGAATACTATCAACTTTACAAAAAAAAAACTGCAAGAAACAACAATTGTTAATTTTCTTTTCATAGAGCTCTAAGAATTTTTTTAGAATTTTTTCAAAATTTTTTAATACCGTATTTTCTTATATTAGTAAAAATGAGAAAATGTACTAAAAAATTGATAAAAAATTCTGAAAAAATTCGTAGAGTTCTATGACAAGAAAATAAACAATTTTTGTCTTTTGCATTTTTGTTTTTGTTTTTCTGTAAAGTTGATAGTATTTGAATAAAAAATTATTGAGGCCAATTTTCGTCAATTTTTAGCAATTAATATCTTATTAATTATTACGAAAATTATAAAATGGTAGAATACCTTTTCTTCTCAGTTTAGTCCATTCTGCCCCTATGCGAAAGATTTATCACAGAGTGTTTTTCAAACACCCTGTATATAAGCAGCTCGACAGCTTATAAAAATCTATAGTAAATTATAGATTAATATTAGAACGTAAATTATAGATTAATATTAGAACTACAATTAGTTCAAGGAATACTTATTTTGAAATAAAAATCTCAAAAAAGAAGTCGTGAATAATCAATACAAATCAATACAATAAAGGACCACATTAGCAAAATGCCATGCTATTATTTAAATTTGTATAATTTAAAATATATACAGTCAAATAAAATGTTAAATAGCAAACATATTCAAATATACATATATTTATGTATAATATAATACACTCTAATTTAAGAAAAATGACGAAGTAAGTGTAATTAAATGCTAAAATGTACCTCAGAAACATTTCAAAAATATTTGAAAATAAAAATGCGTTTTAATAAAATATAATAAATATATGTTTAAAAGGTGTTTTTTTTGTTTTAACAATTTTTTTTCTAAAGTGTTTAAAACGTATATAAAACATTAAAAACATGTTTTAAACAAAAAAAATTGAATGTTTTTTTAAAACATGCTTTTTATCAACTCTACTTCCTTCACTTCGCTCGGGGCACTGCCTAGCTCGCGTTCTTCAACGGTTTTAAACAAACTTTTCCAACATCAAAAATTCAATTCTTCCTTGACAAATTGGTGCCAGACCGAACTCTTAATCTTAAAAACTTAATCTTAAAAAAGAGCCACAGTGATTTATTGAAAAAAAATTATTATTTCGGCTCCTAATAATCTTTTTTTTTTTTTAAATTCATCGAAAAATGTCGATTTCGAATGCTTCACACGGTTATTTGATATGACGCATATTAACGAAATTATTTCCGTTTTTTTATATGGAAAAAGATGTCCACTTTTTAAAATCGTTTTATAATAGTTTAACTGCAAAAAAATTGTTTTGTTATTAAGTGTACGTGATTGTGCAACTCTTGAAGAAGCAAAATCCCTGTAAATTGCTGTGCGACTGCTCAAAGAAGAAATTAAGTTTTCCGCAGACAGATTTTTAATGAATAAATGGCTTTTTGCAAAAATTAATGAACATTTTCAGGCTTGTTCAGGGATTTATTCGTCATTACGAAGGCTACATTTTATGAGAATTTCAAGCTTTACGTTTAAATCTCAATGAACAGAAAGCGAGTGAAAAAAAAACCTTTTTCGGTGTTTTTAAAATTTTTTTTCTATGGAACTAATAGATCGATCTTAATCATTCCACGTTTCATTTTGTAGTTATTTCGAATACGTACATTTTTTTAAACTTTGTTTTTATACAATCAATATCTTTCGTTTTATAAGTGAAAAACGCTTTTTGCAACTATTCGATTTTTTTTTTCGCATATTTTCTTTAAGTCTCGAGTTTCGACATACGCATTTCTTTTCTGATGATCTTTCGAGACTTTCTTTTTTGAAAAGAAATGCTAGTTTTTAATTTTTTCCGCTAAAATTCTACTTCTATTGAACTATTTTTGCTACTCGAGTTTATGAAGGAGAAGTATACTATATAATGAAAAATCGTAAACAATTAAATATCTCGTAAACGTTGCATTTTATCATGATACACAATTTATACTATTCTGGATTAAGAGGAGAGGTACACTATTACTACAATTTATTAAAACTTATGTGTATGTATATGTTATTTAGGATGCCCCTCGCCTCTTATTGATGCCTAGGGCCGCCGAACGGCCGAGTTTATCGAGAAAGCATTTTCGGTCGCTTGAAACAAGCTACTAGTAGGAGGAGCTCGCTATCTCGTTCACTCTCGACGCGTCGCGAGCAAGGGCTCATGCTTGTTTGTGTGTTACAGCGTCGCACCACGATAAATGGCCGAACTTATAGGTATGGAAAAGTGATGTTTTGACGATAAAATTTATGTTGCGTGTCATTTCGTTTTTATTTGCCTAATTGTGAAAATGTGACTTGTCTCGTACTTATCAAACTCGTAATTATCGATGACTAACTAAATTCTAAAAACTAAAATTATCTTAGAATTTTATATGTAAAAGTATATTTTATTCGTTTCAACAACTGACGGACTGTGTGTTTCTGCCTGAATATAGACTAACTTTACGTGCCTTTTACGACTAGTTACTGACTGTCAAAGGAGGAAAAGATAGTTTTGATCGATTTTTACAAGTATTTTAAAGCAATCTCGTCATTTCGTTTCATCTAATTCAAATCAAATTATCTTTATTTAAAAATAGTATGCAACATAAATTAACGTGTCATCTCTCGCTTCTGACACAATTCCAACATGGCTGCCGCGACTAATCAGGAGCCTTAAGAGTTTCAAAATTAGAACACAAATAACCCATATATGTTGTTTAAAGATACTGAAAATAAGTGTGCTGTTTAAGACTTAATAACAACGTATTTCGACCCAAGATTTGGATTGTCATCAATATAGAAGAAAATCCCCTATTATGGGATAAACGCTGTGACATGGAGCGCCTAATATGAGATAACGACGTTTCTGCTAAACTAATAAACGCTATTGGTTCCACCATGAATTTATTGCTCTTGGATTGAAAACTATTTAGTAGAAAATTCATTATTAGATTTATTATTAGATCATGTCTGAAGTTACTGTAAAACAAGATTTTAGGATTTGGATGTCAAGTTTCATTGAGATGAACATTTAAATCTGTTTATTATTTAATAAATATTTGGCAATAAATTTTTCATGTAATAATAGAATAAAGTCGTACTAATAGAAAAATACGGGATATGTTGAATTGTTTAATTACAGAAGTTAGATTTGATGATCATAAAATCATAAGGGATGGAAATCGTAATATGAGATATCCAGAATATTCCTAATATGAAATAATCCATGCTCTTATTGAAAATCGTTGCTAAAGTATAAATGTTATTGTACAATAATAAAAAAAGACAACGGAATGAACTGCCTATATCGGCGATGCTTGATTCCAAATATCTAAAAAGTTCTGAATGTAATAAGTGTATAATTTGTCGTAAGCTGATTTTACGCTGGCTGTGTTTGTTTGTATTTTAAGAAACATTAAATAAAGTTTTTTAATTGCAATACTGGTATATTTTGCGTTTTACTCGCGATTTCTCGGGGCATCTCATATTAGAAGCACAATTTTGACTTTGCTCATTTTTTGCTCATTTGCTCATTTTTTATACTTCTTTAATTAAAAAAAAATGGAATTTCAATTAAATTTTATGTAATTTTGTCATTTTGAAGGGAATTTAATAAGCTTTAAGATAACCTATTATTTTTTAAAATTCTACCTATAGAACTCGGTATCTCATAATAGAGGCTTTTCCTCTAATAATTAATGCAATTAGAAATTCAATTTATGCATAATCAGAGCTGGCCATGTATTTGAAATACTTTTATTTGAAAAACAGTATTGGTTAGACAATTGTATTTTGTTGTTTGTTCGGAGTACATGAAAATATTTTGTATTTCATAGGAGCATATAAAAGTATTTTGTATTTTATATTTCAGTATTAATAACAAAAGATTATGAAAGTATTTTGTATGTTGTATTTTAAATATTAACATTGATAATCAAGCTTATTATTTGAATTACAAGATACAAAAAGCTTTCAATCTTTTAATTTTAAATACAAAATACGTAATATTTTTATGTGATCCACTAAAATAAAAAATACAAAATACGTTTGTATTGCAAATAGTATATTTTAAATAAAAGTATTTCAAATACATGATCAGCCCTGTGCATAATATATAATAAACTTAGTCAAACTATTGATCTGCATCGATAAATTAAATAAAGTTCGTAGTATAATTTTTACAATCAAAAGTTGAATATATTGTTAAAAATCTTGTTTTTATGAAGCATATCCTGCGTATACTTTGTCCACAGTATGTCACCAAATTGTCAAGTTTACTAAATCCCTATTGAAAAAAAAAATCACGTCACACATACACAAAATTATAATACATAATAAAATCATATATTTAAGACAAATAAATTACGTAAAAGATTATTCCAAATCAATATGTGATTTTTTTTTAAATAAGTAATTTGAAAAATCACATGATAGTAGAAATAATTTCACTCATCATGTGACTTTATAGTTATCAAATTTTAAAGAATTAAATGATAGAAATAGAAAAAATATGACTTTTCAAATTATGTGATTGTAAAAAATCATATACTGATTTAGAATAACCTGCTGATTTATTTGTCTTAATTACATGATTTTTTTATTAAATGATTTCGTTATGTAACGTTGTGACATAATTTTTTTCAATAGGGAATAACATAATATTACAAGTAAATGAAAAGAAAACCATAAAAAAACTTATGAAATAGCTATATTGAAAATTCTGTTGAGATACTATTGGGTTGTCTGGAAAGTTTGTGTCGATGTTGAAGGAAAATTGAAACGCAGAAAATTTTAATTTAATAAATATATACTAAAATTTAAATTTTAGTCGGCACGAACTTTCCGGACAACCCAATATCAGTTCGCAAGGTATAGAATGAATGTTAATTATAAAAAAAAGCATGTATATTTATATATACCTGCACTTTGAGCTTTTGCAATTTCTTGTTCTAATCTCATCTGTTTGTGTTTACACAATCCAGTTATGTGTTTTCCATATATTCTGCCTGTATATCGACTTTGAAATTGTGAAAGTAATCTTACATTTTTATAATCTGGTTCAATGTTTAATCTACAAAGAATACACTTTTGCTTTTCTTTAACATAGGGATTTTCAATTTGGATTGGCTACAAATAAAAAAGAAACAAGTGTCATGTATAATACATATAGTATAAAAACATTCAAAACAGATAAGGGGTACAGGTAATTATATGAAGGAGACAGGCTTACTCATCGATTTTGAGAAAATTAATCTCATTTGACGTATTTTTGTACGAAATAAACGAAACTGACAGAAAGAAAGTGTCGCTTTGCTTCGCGAACCGAGATATTAAAGGTGTTTTTTGTCTGATCTAGCATACACTTTTGGAACTAAAAGTGAGATAGATATACGTTTGATATTTATCTAAAGCGAGAAAGAGTTCTAGAACAATCTAGTGCAGGAACAGGAAACAGACTGTAAGTGTAAAAAGTTGATGACTGTTCAGATTAGGAAATCTCACAACAATAAAGGGACGCGAGAGTTGTAAGTACTAGAATAAGTATTTTCTATAATTCAAAAAATTACACAAATTCTGTGCTTTAAAAATAAAAATTCTTCTGTTATAAAAACGAATTTTCTATATAATTTTTGTTTTTACAGTAAAGAATTTGGTTGATTAGGTATTTATCTGCTTTAAAATTCAAATTCTTTGATTTAAAAACAAATTTTTTATTATAAAAACGAAAATTATATAAAATTATATTTTATTATAAAAAATAATTTGTTTTTAAAGCAGAGAATTTATTTTTAAAGTAGAACATTTGTGTAATCCTCTATACTATCAATGTGATGACAGATTTCCTAACCTGAACAGTCGTCAACTTTAATGTTTAATATCTCAGCAGGGCAGAGAGACATTTTTCTGCCGGCTTCATTTCATACAAAGAATTTGTATGCATCAAATGAATTTAATTTCATTAAAAGAACATTGTAATATATGCAATAAATTTTTTACTGAAATATATTTCTACTTTACAATTATTTTAATTTTCAATTCGAACATATTTCGAAATGTACTAAAAAATTTATAGTTAATCTCGTATAATCAATTTTTAGTTGTCAATACGTGCTCTTACCATGTCATTTTCTTTCATCACGTTAATATTTATAGATTTATCGGAACTTTTACTAATAGTTCGAAAATATGATTTGCTGCTACACGTTATTGGAACTCTTTGCAAAGCAGAAGCAAAAATCATTTCGTGATTATTCAAAACGATTTATTTATATAATAAACCAATATAACTCTTTTTCTCTAAATTCCGTTTAACTCCGTTGGATAAATTAGATTTCCTTCTTTTTCTTCTTTTTTTTATTTAGTGGCTCCTGCAAGCAAATGCCCACGACCAGTATCCAATGTAGCGATTATAGACTTCTAAGATAGATAGAGCGTCCCATAGTTGAATTATGGCTCCTGCATATAGAACACGGCAAAGCTTGCCGCGCGGCGGAAGTTACTCGAACTAATATAATTCTATCTATCTCCTACATACTCGACGCGGAAATACTTACCGCGTGACAAAATAAGACGGCTTCACCTTGTAATGCCTCCAGCACACTAGCGCGATGTTCGTCGCGTGCGACACGCGATATCCAATGAGTGTACAGCTTTTCATTCTAAAGGTATATTCTCATTGGATATCGCATGTCGCGCGCGACACGAACATCGCGCTGGTGTGCCGGAGCCATAAAACTTCTAGAAATTATATAATACTACCTCTGCCACGCGGCAAAAGTTGAATTGAGTTTAACTTTTATCGCGTGGTGGAAATTATGTATCTATTACTTCCGAAAAAAAACAAATTGATTGGTTATCGCACCAACTTGCACCCCGCGGCAAGCGTTGCCACGTTGTGTGCAGGAATCATTAGCGTTCTATGGAACGTTCATGTTGCGTTCTCATGGGATGCGGAACTGGCCCCTATTCTTGAAAAGTATCGCAACAACGAAAAACTAGAGAAATGTTGTAGTATACTATAGTATTTCCTCAGATTTTCGTATATAATACTTTTCAAGAATAGAAGCCCTGCAGATATGTGGAACTACAGAATGTTCGTGATTGGTCATGGCTTCATTCCGCTGATTTCGTTCCACTAAAATGTCCTATGTTTTTTAATTTGCGGAATGTGCAATTAGCTCTGATCAATTGCAAGAGATCTTCCTATAGATCACTTTTATCTAATCTGATTAATGCGAGCCAATGATAAACACTAAAATAATTGTTTGTCATTGGCTCGCATTGATTGCGCATCCGCAAGTTCCGGTCAATGGGACATAGGAAAATGAATTCTTGCGAATCGGAATCACACATACATACAGGGACATTGCCTCGACTTCGTTTTGTATACTCATTTTAATTTTTATTTACATTTTTGCTCTTCTATATATTATTTATACGACGTTTATGTTCTGATCTTATATTAATTTCTGTATTTATCTGGAGACTTAATTAATTACTTTCCGAGCTCCTATTCTTGAAAAATATAGCATACGAAAAACTAGGGAAATGCTATAATATATGTAACGTATACTATAATATTTCCCTAGTTTTTCGTATGCGATACTTTTCGAGATAGATTATATTCAGATCTTCCATCGAAGTATCACTCCATTTTTGTCAGAATGTTAAACAAGATGACGTGACACTCAGAGACCACCCGAGTAGGAATCCAAACACGTCTCAGCATGTTGATTAACCCTTTACTATGAATACATAGACTGCCAGTAGCCAGTCTTGGATGCGATCGTGATGCTCGATTGTGAACTCGAGGCCATGTGCTTCTCGTGGTTGGAAATGCCGGTCGAGGTGACTGGCTGCCGCTACTGTCATCGTTTTCTGCACAGTACGAAAACATTGTCCGTCATCAGTTTTGAAATCTTGAGAAAGTTCATCAAGGATATTGTTGAAGACAAAAAAACTTAAGGATACCGAGTTTGACAAGCATTAGGAACTCCAATGATTGCCAATGCATGAGGAATAGGTGAACTTCAGATGCTTTAAAGAATGTTCTTCTGATTGATCTTACGATCATTAGGAATTTAATGTAAAATAGATAAAAAATAGAGAAGATTATCGGAAATATTGGTTTCTCATTCATCGTTATTAAAAAAAACATTAGAAATCAGATTTATAAGTACACGTTCCTAAAAATACAGAAAGATATTTGCTTAATTAAGTTTTCAGCGCAAGCAAAAATTTTTATATTTTTTATTTAAATTAAAATAAATCTATAACAATGTTTTTTTATTTCAAAATAAATTTTTATTAAATAAAATTATGTTGTTATTTTCTTCAGTTTTATAAATTTTATACTTTGTTTACCATTCGCGAGGCTGCACTTCCTTAGCATCATCCTGAACGACTTGAGTGTGATTTCGACATTTTACACTTCTCACAGGCTTCTCGAATCATGTGAGTGCACTTTTCGACTAGCGTCCGACTGTGAGCTCATCAGTGTTTAAATCATCGCTCGTTGCATCGCTTCTATCATCGTTAAATAGCATCGTTAAACAGCGACGCAATCTTAAGTGCCAAAAAGCGATGTAGCCGCCGGCCGCGATTTTCCAATATTAAGAATGGCGATTTACGATTTTGACTATCGGTTCGCGGACATTTTAACGCGCATTCCTTGGTGAACCGCCAGAAGCGCAAATGTAAATCGGGAAAATTATACGCTCCGCATTTTTTCACAAAGCGATGCACTACGACTATTTCATCAAGATGTTCGATTATCCGAAGAAAGTTTTATAGTTTTCTATATTCTTCCTAACAAAGTTTTCACACAAATAAATTCTATTTAAAATAATTTCGATTTAGCGTTTAGAGATCATATTCGGGCCGGATTTACCGTTTAGAGGCCATATTCGGGATTGATCGAAGAATAGCAAAAACTTAACATTCTCCTTTTTGAGATTCTCTGTTATTATCTTACATAGATAAGAAATAAAATGTTATAAAGAATAGGTATATATATTTATCTCTATATATATATACATTTATTAATACATCATCTATATTTTACTTAACACGAGATATTATTAAATACTTACTTTTAGGTCTCTCTATCAATGTCAGATATCTATATATATATATATCATATCCATTTTTATATTAGTATATTATAAAACCATTAGTACATTACATACATAAAAATGGATAATAAATACGATATATGATCATAGCAACATAAAAATATATTATACATGCAATAAAAAAGAATGATACACAATTTTGTTAAAGATTATATTTATTGTGAAAGTTGTTAAAGATTATATTTAACTCATTGGTCTCATTGGTCTCATTGGAGAAGACGGAATCGCTCCAGGAGACATGGTAGAGCAAGGTCATCCTATCTTTGATGATGATCTTAGTCCTGATGGTTTTGGCTCCGTCATGCTCTGTATATTCACTATGTTACACTGCACTGCAACAAAAATATTATGCATTGTTAGTAAAAAAATAAATAATAAACACATTTAAATATCCTGAAAAATAAGAAATTAATTTGATTAATTTCTTTTTGATTAATTAATTCTATTTGAAAAATAGAGCTATGAACGAAAAAAGAGATGGCATCAACAATAGGATGTAAATTAATTACATTTTTTTACTAATACTTTATTCGGCATATTCTTACAATTAACTACAGTTTGAAGTAAAAAATGCTACTACAGTCTTCAAGTTAGAGTGAAATCGAATTTAGATAAACTTTGACAAGAAGGAAAATTTGAAGCATTGATTATGGCTATTTTCCTTTTAAGGAACAAAATGTTCTATTTTTGTTATTCATTGAATGGAGAACAATGTTTATGTCGACTGTATCTTCTAAAAGATAAGCAGTCTAAATTAAATGCCTGAGTTTTGCAAAGTAAATCAATTCAAAAATTTATGATTTTTCAAACTAAGACCGTGTCATCGCCAATTTCTTATGTTCCCTTGGACAAAATTGCAAAAATTGCACGAGCGATCGTAAGTACTCACGAATACATGCTAGTATTCGCGAATATACGCGAATATACCAATACTATCAGATCGACGAGTGACAACAACTTCTTCTTCAACCTTCTTCAACTGGAGTGAAAGGAATTTCAGTTGCGAGATCGACATACATTTTATGTACGACAATCACAGAAACCACAATATATGAGAGCAACGTGAAAATCACCCTACCACACTTTAGGAAAAAAGAATGACAACTACACTACCATCGCCACTCGCAGTTGTAGTCAGGCTCCCCAACTTCTTAGTGCGAAATTTATTCTTCGAAATAAAATCTGATTCCATCGAAAGTTTCCGCTGTCGTCATCATACATTTATCATAATATTTATTATATATCCTATTATTATCATTGTTAATGTATATACACATTACTATTAATTTTTTGTTATTATTTGTTAAATTGCGATATTTTGACATTTTCTCCTTTTGATATCAACATTCCGCATTTTAGGTAATTTAATATTCTAATAACATCCTTAAATTTGAATAAATTTTTCATCTCCAAATTCTCACTGAGCTGCGTTCAGAAATTACGTTCTAGAGTACATTTTTACTATAATATACATACGTGACGTAACCTATAACTTAGAGTTATCTGGACGAAATTTCACGCTGTTTCTTGTTGCTTTCAATTGGTTCATTTTCAAGTTAAGTTAGTAGGTTCGAGTTGAATTGAAGAATTGGCACCAATTGGCGCCAATCGTTAGTTCATGCTTACGTTCAGATCGGATTATTTGTTGATGTCTGATAAATTCTTTTCAACTGAATCCAAATTAGTTGTTATTTAAAAATTTGTGAACGTCTGCAATTCAGTGAGACGATGGCTAAACGAAAAATTACTCCAAGGTTAATCTTATTTCTATTAGATGTCTATACTTGCTTTTCACGTTCATCAGAATTATTTATCACAGTTATTTTACATATTGATATAATAATCATTAGTCATGTAATAAATTATGTCTTACTAATGCTGTCATTTATATACATATTTCTATGTGCATTTAATAATAATCTAGTAATCTCTTAGTATTTATTAATTAGTATTTTTATTGTATCATTTTTTTATATCTGAGATCATATTTTTTAATGAAATATCTATATATAGTGTATAAATAATATATTTCAGTTCAACAAACAATTCTTCGAAGAAAAGAACAAATAAAGACAATATAAGTGGATGCTTTTCATTTAAAGACATAAGTTGACACAAGTATCATTCTGTCTGGTTCTGTCTTTGCGAAGAAAGATAGAACATTTGTATAAATTTATATTACTAAATGAAAGACACTCAATGATACATGTTAGATTGAA